TGGCTAGTAATGAAGACAGCTACATAACTTCCTAGTATTATCAGGAGTAGTGAAGTGTTATTACGCAAAAAGATGCACAGTTACAAATATTTAACAGCATAATAGAAACAAACATTTCCTTTCTTGTCAGGTCAATTGAGAAGATAAAAGACTTTCCAAACAAAGTTAATAAATAATTTGCTAATCAAGTACGGTTGCTCTGCAACTGCATGTCTTTTAAGAACCCAAATTCCAGTGACACTCAACATCCTAAAAATAACAAAGAAAAGACAGGTTAAAGTACGCATAAATGAAATCTCAGTTCTTTGAGCATAAGCTAAACGGGTTATATTTTGCATATTCATGCTCTTTCCTTGCAGATACAATCCAATCCGTTTCATTATTCATGCAATTTTGTAGTTGTTGGGACCATCAGGGATACTTTATGTCAAGACACGCATTTTTACTTGCATGGTTTAGCACAGGTTTCATGTTATGAGTTTTCCACATGAGTAACACTTCTGAGATACTCAAACAAATGGAAACAGGACACCATGATGCCAAAAGTTTCTACATGAACTATTTACACAAAGCTGACAAATCTGTACATAGCTTACAAATGTTTTAACTGCAAGTCTGAAACTGAAAAAAAAATAAATAAATCTGTTGCAAAGCTGTAAAAGAACCAGTTGATAATAGCCAAATGAGCATTCAAAAGAGGTATCATTCACTTAGCTTCAAATCAAAGTGTCAATCTAATGTGATTTCTGGGAAATTCTTAGAGAACGTTTCTGAAAAGTTAAAAATCTGTAATCATATTCCAGTTTTGTTGTTGCCAGAAACATGAATTTAAGTGAACTATCTCATACCCAACTTCCTCTGAAATGCAACAGCACATTCACAATGAAAACACAAACCCACTATGCTTTTTTTGAATGCTGCTGTGTCAAAACAGAAATAAGTCCTGCAAGAAAAACCTGTAGTAGGTAACTGATGATTGAACAGCAGCATTCAAGATGGAACATAGCTTCTGTCAGAAGGAAAAAAAAAATAGCAAAAAGAACAAGACTTCAGAGTACCGAGTAAGCGTGAAGATGCTCAGTCACAAAATACGCATAAGACAATGGATGACAGAATCCTTGCCATTATTAGCAATTTCACAGTGATTGCAGAAGCTCACTGTAATCAAAACTGTTACTGTTTGAATACTAAAAGCGAAGAGGACAAAAATAGTGATAAAAACGGATTAATCTCAGAGAATCTGATTATGCAGAAAGTGCTGCAAATCAAGAACAGCTTGCATTCATCAAAAATAACCTCTTATAACTAGGAGGTTATAACAGTGACTGATCTCGGACTAAGATTAGCTCTACCTATTAGGTTGCTTGGAAGCTAGTATATGAGAGATTCAACCAAGACATATATTCACTGTAATCAGGAGGTTGAGTTTGGAGGAACACTAGATGTTCATCACGACAAAAGGAAAGCTCATAATATATCCAGACAACCTGTTGATGGATAAACTTGCCATAGATAATCTAGAACTAAAGATGAAGTCAGAAGCAGTGAAATCAAAAGCAGCAGATGTCTCAGCAGCTTGAGTATCCTTGAAGATGAGAGATGATACCAAAAGAACAAGGTGTGAATGAACTGTAGCTGCTCCACCCTCAGAAACAAGGCTCAATAGATGTATTTGCCTCCGTCACATACTTTCCTCCTACAGTATTTAGGAGCAAAAAGAAGCTTAGCTACGAGAGCAAAGCAGCTAATAAAATCCTTTGGCCAAGATTCAGTTTATGCAGTTACATGAGACAGAAGTCATTCAAAGTATATTTTGCCACTATATACTGTAAAGTCATTGGCAGACAAAAAAAAAAAAATGCAACTTACTTGAATAATAGATCAGGACTTGTATGCTTTAGTGAACACCCAAGAGAATGATAAAGCCCATTAGTTTCAGAAGCTAGGATCAAGTTCAGAACAAAATGGTCTTTGATGTCAACACATATATGTTATCATTTACACACTACTCTAGCTGGGGATGGTAACAACAGACTTGAGCAGCAAAGAAACACTGCAAATGAGCAGCAAAGAAACACTGTATCACATAAGTGAAACTCCTGGTAAGCCTCTCTTCAAAGGTGTACAGCCCCCAAAAAGCTGCAAGTCAATGCTGCAAAGCAGAGAACATTAACACAGAAGGGCCTTTGCCAGACTACAATACTGGGAGAAAAGACCAGACCTGCTGCCTACAAGATGCAAGAAGAGAATACCACAGCTTCAATGCATGAAGAAAAAGGAAAAGGTCTGGCAGATCCTTGTTCGCTTACATACCAAAATAATCCCAAGCTGGACTGGGTTCAATTTTCTGGTCCACAATGATGTATCAGTGAGCCAAGGCAGTATAGGATACCTGCTCACTTTCAACTCCCCTGCAACAAAAATGTCTGCTGTCAGTTCATTTAAAAATGTTAATTGTTGCGCAAAGCAGAGAGTTGAGCATTAGAAGAATATTGGCATAGTTATTAAGCTTTATTCCCTCAGCACAAGGTGGATCACTAAACAAACAAGGCAACTTTATGCAGAGCAACAACTTAAATAACAATTCCAGCTGGAACATCTCCAGTTAGGTTATCTGTATTATTTATGGCAGGATTGTGATCTGAAGACAGTTGTATCAACACTGCACAGCACTCGTGGAACACGTCTGGTTATTAGCAATAAAGAGGAGTTTTACAACACATACAGTCTGATACATAGTAAAAGATACCAAAAGATACCATCTGAGAGATGCAAGAGAAGATCCAAAAGTTTTCAAGACTGTTAAGTCATTGCTTCTGATGATGAAGTAATTCTAAAGAGCCCCATGAACAAGTGGTATCTCATTGAATTATAGGTCAAAGAATGAAAAGAAATGTTCACAGATCATGGAGAAACTACACAGCACAAGTTATGAATACTGTCTGCAAGTTCCTCTTCTTCCAAAGCAAACCAGAGTACTATGAAGAACCATCCTGCAAAAAGATGTGCATTTCTGTGTGTACTTCGTACTGCAAATAATGACTTTTAAAATATCTCTTACACAGCTATATTCAATGCTTTCAGGTTTAGCAATGATATATTCTTGTCCAAAGTATTATAAAATTAGTACATGGAACAGGACAAGATCTACCGAAATTAAGTCTGAGAGCGTGACAGTTTCAAAAAGCACCATCACATATCATCTCATGTAGTACCAGTAACTAACCTTATGCAGTTAGCCATTGTTTTTAAGAGCTCTGATGTTGGCATCTGTACTAGCAGCCTGCAGAACGAAGCTTGTACATATTCTTGACTCCACCTCAAACCTTTTCAGCACTCACGCATCCATTTCTAAGCAATACTTACTTTGTAATCCAACATGCTTGACATCTCTATAACACACTCAAGACAGCAAGACCGTGGTGCAGTACTGACAACAGCCTGCCACAACTGTACCTCTTTGCCAACTATTAAATACCATAAAAGCTATAACCTTTTCTTACATACAGTTCAGCAAGTACTAATTCCCAACACCTAATGCCAGCTCCAAGTAGAAAAGCTAAGGTTTTCACAGTTATCACAGCTCAAAACTTTATTTTCCCATTGTTTGACTTTCACTAAAATCTAAACTGTTAAAGAACACAAGCCACCCTGGAGTAATAGCTCACCCTCCTAGATGACTACTTTCACTGTTTTGTCCAATTCCAGTATTCTGTGCTCCAAAATTGGAAATTTTATTTTTATTATATGGCTTTCTGATTTGTTTTCCCAAACTAACTTCCTGCCAGAGTATCTTCAGTTCTTTTAAATAATGTCTATTAGTCATCCCATCAGTCCATCAGTTTTATTCAACTGTATCTGATCCTATTATTCATAGGCAAAGAAAAGCATTTCTATGTTTAGGTCAGATGACATTAATCCAGTACCCCCTCTTACTGGCCACTTTATGGAAATTAAGGAAGAAAATACTTCATAGTTATGTAATAACCTAGTGGGAATATTTCCAACACTCAGTGAAGGCTGATTTATGCTTAGAGGCCCAAGAACTGTTGAAAGAGTTATCATGCATGAGTATCTAACTCCTTTTAAAATCCTGCTATTGGGTAGATGGACTCAATGACACCTTGTTGACTCAGGGTTAAACTACTTTCTTCCATCTTTTAAAACATATGTCTTTGCAGTCTAACTGACCTTTATGTTCCTGTGTCCTGAAATAGTTTATCAAGAACTCAAATGTTTGATTCAACTGATGCACCTCTGACCCTTTGATTAAGAGATAAGCAGGTTCACAAAATACATTGTAAAGCCTCAGGTACTGTTCCAGGATAATCAGGGATGGCTTGGCATGTCTGATTCTTCTACGGTTAAAAAAATCCCAAGCAAACTCTGTAACACAACCTCCAGAATTCTGTAGGTTTGTTTTTCAAATCCTTAACAAAACTGAAAGCCAAAATCCTCGTATTTTTTTCTTTGAAAGTGAAATTAAAAAAGTTAGTACAAAACAGTATTCCTGTGTCATATCGATAACAATTTTGAAAATATTTTCTTAATATTTACAACAGATTAAGAATGTCCCACTTCAATAAAAGTAACTTCTTTGTATTTTTATTAATTATGTAAGAACATAAAACACTCACTTAGAACTAAATACTAAAGCCAGTATTGAAAGCAAGTTGAATTAACAGTCTCACTATGCAGTCTCACTTCTAAGTGTAGCTTAGAAGCAGCAATTGAAAAATGCCAATACTTCAAGAACCATTTGTCTCTTTGGCCAAACTGAACAAAACCATGCTTTTGATTTTGGCTGCAGGAATCATTTTCTCTCCTCATTCTTGTAACTGTGGACATGATAAGAGCAGTAAGTACTAGTAAAGGTCTATGTTTATCATACACTCAAAATTCTATGAAACAAAAAAAAAAATCCAAGTTCAAAGTGCAAATTTTGGCCATCTGTCACTAAAGTAATAGAAATAAACATTGAGCAGGAAAACAGAACTTACTCAGATGCTTGTTCAGCAGATGGGATATCTACAGAAACTAAAAATAAAAACAAAAGATTTTATTAAAAATATTTAATAATGTGGAACTTTTAAATCCAAGTATACAGAAATAACAATAATGCAACTGAAAAAAGAACTACAGTAACGCCAAAACATCCACATGGATGTATATGTATCATGGATGTATATGTATATAAAAAAGGACACTATATGTACTCACCTTTCTCTATAACAACTTGACAAGTATGAGTGTGGCTTTCACTCAGATGTGTGGCCATGCTATCCAAGCCAGAAACATCAGTCAGGAAATCACAGTTAAGACACACTACAGTCACACCTCTAGAGAACAGAAAGTGAAAAGGAAGTATAAATACAACACAGCTGTGGAAACAGTTTTCTTAAATTACAGCAACTGGACAGACTATAAGAAAAACAAAATAAAATTTCTTCTACCTTTAGATAAGACTACTCACAAGAACACGTTCTTACTTTTCATACTGCAGCTAACACCTGGTAATCCCTATGAATGACCAGGGCATCTCCACGCTGGACATAGCACAGAGAGCACTTTAGACAAATTTATCTGTGAAGCATGAGTTTCTTGGGTTTGGTGGGCATTGTTTGTTCATTCTTTTGTTTCCCTTGCCCCCTTCCCATTGTGCATATTAGGAAAAACAGAACATAAAGAAACAAAGTTTTTAAAACTGCTCAGAAGTTACTAAATGTGGACAAATAGCTGTCACTGACCACAATACTGCTAGTGGAAGAGCTAAAGTTTTTATTTCCTTGCTCTTCCTAAATCGTGGAAGCCCAGAAATTCAATAGGCTCTAATCTCATTTAACAAATCAGTTCACTATCAGAAAGTAAAACCACAATGATATGTAACTAATAAAAGCTGAATTACCGTAGCTCTTCTGAATGCTTCTTATAGATCCAAAATCTTTTACTTGGGCGAGCACTGTGAAAACTGAATATATGAAAACATTAGCACTTAAGACTGGTTTTCTTGAGTACATTATTCCCTACACTGTACATTAGTTATGACACGGCATGAAAACAGAAAGATTGGCTACTGACCTCCATTATCCTAAAACATTAAATTGCTGAAAGCTTACAGAATTGTGAGTATCAGTTCTAGATTAGAATGTTGACTCTCTTATAAATAACAGGAACAAGGCTTAACTTTGTCAGCACAGTCCTGCAAGAACATAGTTACATTGCTTCCATCAGCAGTTTAGCTCTTGAAGTACCATGGCTATAGCCATACACCGCTCCAGAAAAGCAAAGCTTTGCTGAATTCACACTTGATAAAGAAATGGCTTAAAATGAGATAAATGAAATTTTTAGAAAACCTCTAAGTTCTCTTATACAGGTAAACTATGTGCCAACACTACTCCCATATGAAACAAAAAAGCAAGCGGCTGAGTACAGGGGCTGCTACTGCAAAAACACCCTTCCTTTAACAACCTTCCTCCTCACCATCCCTTGTTCCTTACACTCACCAAAAAAGATTATGATAGATGCTGCAGGGGGTCAAAGCAGGGGGAGCATTAGTTTGTCAAGGAGGCAAAGACAAAAGACTGCTTATTTTATTGCATGGCTGAATTTTACAAAACCCAGAACATGGACAACAGTAGGAACAGTTTACCTTATGTAATAACCTATTGGGAATATTTCCAACACTCAGTGAAGGCTGATTTATGCTTAGAGGCCCCAGAACCTCCCCCCTTTTCTGGAGTAAACCTCTCATACAACCAGAATTAAGCACATTAATTTTAACTGTTTTTTTTAAGCATGCAGCCAATGGTTTATATCCATAAAATCATACTTCAGTTTAGGACTTACATAAGCATTGAAATTATTTTGAATAGGTCAACATACAAAGCATTCAAAAACTTGTAAAGACTTGGGTCATAAATTCAAGAATTGTAGCATTCAAAAATACCAAGGCATTTTATACATGCACAAATTTAAAAAGACAACTGCGTTCTATATTTTTAGGCAAAATATTTGGCTTGTTTAGGGCAGAAGATAAACAAGTATGTTTTCAAAGTTCTGTTTTTCTGTCACTGCTATGTGTTAATTATTGAATAGTATAATTCTATTGCTCTGAAAACAAACACATTTATTTTCTTAAGAGGCTTTTCAGAGCTGTCATCACTAAAACCCCACACTGCCTTACAATCAGTAACAAAACTCCTGCAAAATGAGATGTTATTTTAACAGTTGACCAGACGTAGTCTAAGAAAAGGTATCCACTTTAGCATGTTATTTGAGACATCCTTTACATGGTAGTCTGTGCACAGATTTCATTAGCAGTATCTGTGGCTGTATGCATTCAACACTTGTAAAATCAGATACGGCATTCCATCTGAATCCCAGGGAACTTGCAACAGTTAGTCACTATTTGCTAAGTCTGGCTGAAATCATTATGGAAGATCTCACAGAAACTGAAGCAAAGACAAAACACTTCCTGAACTGCTGGAATTTTAAGGCAAAACAAGAACATTGTGTTTAGGCCCTCATTATAAAGCGAAAATCCAACTTCACACATTTCCTTACCAGTCCTATGATCCAGTTCAAAATTCAGCTAACAGAAACACTTAAGAAACCTTATATGAATTTATGAAGTATTTGACAACCCAATCAATTTTTGAAGAGTTCTTACCTCATCATGTGATTCACATATGCTTTGCTACAGCTAGTGTTGTATCTGCATAAGCTACAGTGGACATAAGCAGGAAAATGGCTTGCAAAATCTTTTACTTCTGAGTAACATTCAATGCATTTGTGAACTCCTGAAAGATACCTAATAGTAATATGAAAAAGGTAACTATTAATATCAACATTTTAAGACAAGATAACTATTCCAAACTTATTGCTTTAAGTTAGTAGCGAGATTGCCTACTTCCAACTTGAGGAACTTAAAAATGCAATACTTAAAAGGTTACCATAGCACACATAACAAAAACTTTTTGTTTCCCTTCTTCCTCAAGTTATGCTGTCATTCTCATCTTAATTAAAAAAAAAAAAAGTGAGTTAATATAAGCATCTGTTACTGGCAACTCCTGGCCAAGAAGATACTGCAGTAGATAGGAACCTCCAACTTCAGCTGCTGCTCTTGTCTCTATGTACTTGAGAAGGGTTTCAAAGAAATGCTTCATCCACTACAAGGCACAGAAAAAGCTGTGGGTTTTCCTGTCACCCCGATATTCTCCACTTTCCTCTGAAATATCTACAAGGCAAGAATGTAATTCTGGCGTTCCCCAATTCTGGATGTTCTTGGAGAGCTATGCACTGGGAGCATCAGCACCTTACTGGAAATCAGACATCTACAATATCTGACAAAGAAAACCGTTAACTCATATAAAGTCTATAAAACACCCATTAAATTATTAACACAAGGATAACAAAACCCAGTTAACTGTAAATATAAAGACAGCATTCCCAATAACATCAAGGTATCTCCTAGGACAGACAAGACTTGACCTTTCAAATAACATGTTCAAACAAACCCCTTAAAAAATTGAAGGGGGGGAATACTTTTCCCTCCATCAGAAAACTTGCAAAGAACACCCAGGCAGGCAGATGTATTCCTGTCCTCAGGTCACTTTTAAACATAAATCTGACTCATGAGTCAGTATTTCAACACTCTGTGGCTCTGTGCAGAAAAAAAAATTATCTAAATTTAAGACAGGAAAGTTTCCAGAACAAATGTCTTTGCAGCATAAAGTAGTCTATCACCAACAAAACTGGTGAATGAAGATTCAGAATTATAATAACAGTACCAGTAGCTTTTTCTACAAAACTAATCTTCTCTACTGCAGTATAAGTTATCAATTAGAAGTTATTAGAAGAGACATTGTGATGGATTATTTATATTCAAAGTATGAAGATATTTTTAATGCCAATATATTACCTTAGATTATGCAATGCTGTATTTGTAACTTCTTTTTTTTTCCTGCTGTTGGTCCATGCATTTTGCTTCTTTGATGTAGCTGGTTTTGATTTTGCTTTTGACCTATTTGTATTAGATTTGCTATGATTTTTAGTGGTATTTTTAGCTTTAGGTGATAACTGAAATGTTGAAGAACTTGTACTAACAGAAGACATAGCCGATGATCCTGATAGAAGAGATCCAAGAGATGCTCGAATAGTCACCTACAATTATGAAATTAAAACATTTTCTATTTAGATTTAAGCCAAGTTCCCATTTCTATTTGTCTCAATGTTTAAGCCACTTCAGGCAAAAATCAGAGCATAAGACACACTCCACAGTGAAGACTGCTTTGAGAATAATGAAATACTGTTGACTAGGGTAAACTTAGCCTCAATAGTCTACTGGATGCTTTAAAAGCTCTTGTTTTGGTGGAGATAGCCATGACAACACACACTTCTCTTTTCAGACTTGCAACTGGCTACATCCTGCTTTATTATGACAAAGAAAAAAATAATGTAGCTGTGAAAAAGAAAGAGAAATCAGCCCAACTAGCCCTACTAAGAAGAGTATCAAACAGTTCTGTCAGTGCCATAATTAGAATGATTTGGGTTGGAAAGGACCTTGAGATCATCTAGTTCCAGCTCCTCTGCCATGGACAGAGACAACTCCCACTAGACCAAGTTACTCAAAGCCGTGTACACCCTGGCCTTGAACACTTTCAGAGATGGGGCAGCCACCACTTCCTTGGGCAGCCTGTGCCAGTGCCTCACCACTCTCACAATAAATAATTTCTTCCATATATCTAATCTAAATCTCCCCTGTTTAAGTTTGAGCTATTACTCCATGCCTTGTCACTATAGCCCCTGATGAAGAGGCCCTCTGTAGGCCCCCTTTAGATAGTGGAAGGCTGCTATGAGGTTTCTACGCAGCTTCTCTTCTCCAGGCTGAACAGTCCCAACTTTCTTAGACTTTGTGTGAGAGGTGCTCCAACCCCCTTATCATCTTTGTGGCCCTCCACTGGACTTGCTCCAACAGTTCCATGTCCTTCGTATTTTGGGGACACCAGAACTGTATGCAGTACTTTGACCCCCTTTAATAAAAGCCCTGTGTCTTGCTGCCTCATCATTAGCCTATTTACTTCCTTCAGATATTTTTGTTTCTCATCCTAGAGCCCCAAGGACTAATTCTTGCCCATACTAATAGTTTAGAAGGACCTCATCTTCTAAACCTGGTTCCAGGTGTCTAACAACACTAAAACTTTATAAATAAACTAAGCTTTTCTTAGATCATGAGGACCCTGAAATCTTTAAAAGGCTGAGATATTATCAGTGCTCTACATTAGGCCAACCAACACAACTACCATCAACTTCAATAATTTTCTCTTCCTGATTCTACAGGACATGAACTGTGAAGAGCTGGTAAGACTAAAATGTAATTTTCTTCTTCCACTCAAGTGAAAGGACATATATCTTCACATTTCATTAAAAAACTGTAGGAAAAAAGTCCTGAAGTCCACAGGAAAATCCTAGTTTCAGTGGTTCCTTCTTGAGAAATGGAAGAAGGATTTAAAGATTACCTAAGCATTCTGAGGAGACCCAAATTTACTTCATGAAACACTTAACAGAAAATCATGGTGTGTTTTTTTTACCCTTCAAATACTAGAGCTAGAAAAGACCTGGTGAACTCAGATTTTAAGCAATATTGTTTATAGCAAAGTAGGTGTTGCACTCTACATGATTTTTTGCCACCACCTTCCGCAGGTTGAAATATATTCTACAAGAAATACTGCAGACCCCTCAGATCACACCCAGACTACCTCCTTTGCTCCTAGCACAAGAAAGGCTAAGGGGGTGTGTGTGTGTCTGTGTGGCAAATGAACCAACAGCTCAAGAAAGTAGCACTGACTGGACTACTATCCATGTACAGACAAATGGGAGAGAAAGCAATGCCACAGACCACCAAGAGGAAGCTGTAAACTGTGCCTGGCAATTCTTGCAACAGGAATGTTTTTTAGAGTTTTAGGTTTGGAGGTGGCAAAAAAAAAGAGGGAAAAAAAGAAATCTCTGGTTTAGAAAAAGAAAAGGGAAAAGCCCTTCTTTTTACTCTATGACTTTCGCTACTAAAATGTAGTTTGTTTTCCATTTGTTTGGTTTTTTTCCCCCTTGTCCCTTCTAATTCTCCTGTATGAAGATTTACCTTTGTTCCAGGAGGCAACCCTTCTAACTGTTTGGGTTTCCTAAATGTTCGGTGATGCTGAGTCTTGTGATCCATTTTTTCCTTGCATGTCAAAAACTGCAGTCTGCACTTAGTGCAACGGTATATTCCTTTTTTCTTTTATAAAAACAGGACATAAAGAAAGCATGAGTGCCATGATAAACAAACTCCAACCCTAGCTGGTCTCAAGCAACTGCTATCCAGTTTCTAAAACATCAACCAGAAAAACTGATATTGCACAAAGCCAAAATACTGTGTAGGAATGAAGAAAGGATATTTTTTCTCCTCTCTATAACTACTTGAATTATATTAATAGTATTAATTTTATTAATATTACTTATATAGTATTTAATAATAATTTAAATACGTGAAAATACAAGGCAGTATCATTACTAAGAGGACAAGGAATCAGTTTATCAGTTACAAGACACAGGACTTCATTAGCTATTTGTCTACTTGAACTAGTGAAAGGTTTGCTACTAACATCAAGAGAAGCATAACAGATCACTACAACTTAATGAAGAAATCAAGCAGCAGAAATACTTTCAGAATATTCAGTTTTTTTTTCTTAACAAGCTGCTGTCATACACAAACATAAGCAAGTCTAACAATTCTCTTCCAGACTTTCTATTAACTATTCTTATAAAGTAACAACTACACAAATCAGTTATACCTTTGCTTTCCCCCAGAGACAGATTCATTATGTATATTTAGCATTTTTCTACCATCAAGGATTGAAAATATCTGCTTACCTGATGCCTCATGTAGTGATGCATATATGGTGCTCCGATTTTAATTACTTTGAGGCAAAACGGACACAGCAAATGTTTTGTATTTTCATGAACTGTTCTAAAATGTGTTTCTACATCTGAAAAGGCTGAGGATCTGTAGTTGCAAACCTAAAATAAAAAAGTTGAGTTTCTTGTCAAAAATTTATCAATAGTAAAGATGGGGGGTGTAATTAAAAACAAAACGGTCACTTGAGATACCTGGCAAACATACGGCATTTCACCTGGCTTATGATTGTCCTTCATATGTTGCAGAAGAACTTGCTCTGTTTCAAAGGATAATTCACAGATTTTACAAATAGCTAGAAAAGTGAAAGAAAAACAAAGTAAAAATTAATTTGGGGTCATAAGGAAATAAATTTTAATGCTATGTATATGTCAACTGTAAGTATCGATAAAAGTAAAGCAATCTAACAATTATTCTATAGTTCAGAAGAAATTCCTTGTACAATTTCAGAAAGCCAGGAGTCCAAGACCCCTAAACAATGTGAATACTTGCAGTCAAGCTTTCAATTAAAAAATAAAATTAAAAAAAAAAGCTTTAAGATTTTTTTTCCACACACATTGCTGTTACATAAATTGAATGAGCACTCAGCTCCTATGTTAAATCAAGACTATTACTCTTAAAATACAATAGCTTTACTCTGAAGTTACACACCAGCAAAGTCAGAAAATACTTAAAAATTTCAGACCACAAAAAGATTCAGTGTGACACAACGCAACTTACTAGATGATTCATAAGGGGTGTGTGTACTTTCAATGTGGCACTGCAGCTGGAACGGTGTGGGAAACTGACGGTAACAGTGCTGGCAGGTAGTGTGGCTTTCCCAGCTTTCACTGCTTTGTTTCTCAAGTTCCAAGTGATGTTTCATGTGGTTCATAAACCTTTAAATGGTAGTAAAAACAGGTGCAAAACCTAAATTTTAACATTCACTATGATATATCACATGCAAGAAGTACTGGATTCTTTTTCTAAAGTTCACTCAGGAGGGATTTCTCAATTTCAAAAAAATCTAAGGAATAAGTGCTCATAAAGTAATAAAGGGGTAACCAAGTTAAGCAAGCTGACTGACAGAAATCACCTTTCAAAGCTTAAAAAGAAGTCGTGACTATTACAAAAAACATACAATGTATCTGAAATGTGTTCCAAGATCAAGCAATCTATTGCGTTTTTCACAGTTGCAAATTGTCTTGAAATAAAGGGAAATTAGCAGAGGCAGAATCAAAATGTGTCAGCTGTTCACACTTCACCACCACCAGTGTCTCAAAGCCACATTCTGAAACAAGTATAACTTTAGCTCTGCTGAAAACTATTAAAGTAGCAAGAACATATCTGTAATTAGAACATTACAGCTTTATCTGAAACTACCTCCATTCAAAACTGGCAGGCTTTCAGGAGCTTTCTTTGTATAAAGCAGTCAGGACTGAATTGAATTATGAAGGACTGTTATCGAAGAATGACATTGTACAGCTGACAACCAAAAGACTATGAGAAACTTAATGGTATGTTACTACTTCAGTTACCACCTTTTCCTCATTAGTCTGTCCACCTATCTGTAGCAGGATCCTATTCTGACTGAGAAGCCTAGGCACTGGCAGGTCGCACTTACTCGTGGAGTGGCAGAAGGACAGGTTAGTTGCACAACGCACTACCATTAAACTTCAAAAACTGTTCTATTTTCAATGTGCTTGATTTCAGCACAGCCAGAGGAACTATTAAATGTCAGCCACACTCACATAAGAAATGTAGTTCTCTAAGTGGTGACCCTGGAACTGGGGGGGGGGGGCAAGGAGAATAGTCTCTTGAGCTCAGGCTTCTAACATCATGCAGTTGCTTAAAACAGAAAGGAGGAAAAAAAAAGCAGAAGAAAGAAACTGATACTAGTACTGCATATTACCTTAATGGAACATTGTTTCACATAGATTCAGCATGATCTATATGTGCAACCATAGATCTTTTAAAGAAAGTACGTGATTAACTGTAAATCATTTTTGTGATTTTCTGAATTAAGGTCCATAAAACTTCCACTAGAAGACATACTACATATTTATTTTGTCCACTAGAAATGTTTAAAGGTGTAAAATACACCTTGAAATAGAAAATCTGAAGTTAGAGAACTATAGAAGACAGCAACAAAGTTAGAGCAAAAATTGATATGGCTGAAGTCAGCTCTACAGAAATTCAGAGAAACAAATTAAGTGCTCATTTTTAATGACTTACTGTAGAACACACAGGCACTACAGCACCAGTAGTGTACAATATAATGCTGAATAGAAAATAATGCCTGAAAAGTATTTTTAAAATGAACCCATTATCTATAAATCAAGGATTCTGTGAACTACTTTTCATGATACTGCAAGAAAGGCCTACTTGAAAAGTACTGTGCAGACAAAAACAGAAGAAAAACCTCTTAGCCCATATCAAACATTGTTTATTGCACTTAAAAAGATAAACTGCAAGGGAAGAAATGCCGTAATTATCAAGAACTATAAAAAAATCATAAGAGTAAACTCCTAAAGTCTAGCAACATACAACAATTTCAATCTGCTTAAGACAATTTACCAATACGTTTATTTAGGATTTATAAATCCTTAACAATTAATAGCAAATTTAATGTTTCTAATTACATGAAACTGTTGTTTTTTTAATAATATGGATCTAATGTTAGCAAAAACCTGTTCATTTTAAATTGCAGACAATGCCCTTTGAAGGAATAGTCCATTTTTCAGTTTTACATTCTGCTACTTCAGCTTCCCTTGAAGAATGCATGTATAAAGGTTCAATGACCTTAACTTTCAAAGGAACAATGACACGAACATGTCTACCCATTAAAACAGCTTACTGAACTTTTTTTGCAGCATTCGGAAGTAAAATTATTCCATCAAAATAACAGATGTTACATAAGTAAACCACCAACTATTAGTCATTGTGCAGCACTAAAGGGAATTTATACTTGCATCTACTGATACCACCATCAATCCAGATGGCAAATTGTAAAATACTCTGTGTTGCCCTTTCTAACCCCAAGTCCTACAACTGCTCTCATTAAAACTCTGTTTATGTTAAACACTATAAAATTTTCTAATTCTAATCAGGAAAAAGTTTGTTATGGCCATACATGCATAGTAAAGATTAATTCAATTTCTGTTCAGCTATTCACTATTACCAGTTTTCAATAAGAAAAAAAAATCTGTTCCAGAGAGACAATGCACAAGACTATGGGCTGTAAGTGATTAACAAACAATTAAGTGAGTTCAAATACCTTATGTTATTTTTAAGAACTTTCAGACAACTGAAGCACTTAAATGTCGTATGAGTCTTCTGCTCCTGCTGTACCTGCTGGGTGTCACCTTCATGTTTCCCATAATAAAAGTCATTAACTAACATAATCAATTTTCCTTTCTCAGATTCAGCAATCTTGCCTGTTGCGCTCGAACATTCTGTTTTGGCCACTCCCAGGAAAAAGTTATTTACCATATCTGGACAACAATACTGGATGGAAGTGGGGAGAAGAAGAAATAGAAACAAAGGTATCAATCTTTCTTACCAAACTGCATCAATCACAGTAACATTTTAAAAACTGGAGCCACTCACTAAATGGAGTTAGATACAAAGCTCAATTCTCTGACACACTGACTTCATTCACATTCAAATACAAATTTTGAACAGTAACTGTATCAAAATATAAAGGTAGGTTTACACTGTTATCTTTGTCTCAGTAGCAATTTAACAAAGATGTGGGTCAACTGGCTGCCTATTATTGTAGGCACTTACCCTCATCATATTCACAGGAAGCTGGCCAATGGTTCAAAAAGTCACAGCTGTGGCAGACAGAAATCATACACAGACAGCAAATATGCCTCAATTCATTGGAAAAATAAGGCAAAAAGTGGTAGGATTTATAGCCATCCTACTCCTTTCTTCCTCTCCATGACTGCAAGACATAGAGCATTTAGGCCCTGGCTGATCTTAGCCAGAAGCCAGTCTAACTTCATATAAAAACACAGCACTCTTCCATAAGCAAACAAAGCCCAGATTAAGTTTGCTATGATGTTTAAGAACCCAAAGTATTTTACCTTCATGTGATTTTTTAGAGGATCCATAAGATTGAAATGAATATTGCACTTCGGACAGGCTCGTGGAAAAGGTCCTCCATTTTTAATGGTGCTTGCTACAGCATCTGTACCTGTAAAATTTAAAATATGCTAATATTCAGAATTCACAAACAATACTCTATTATTATTCTAGCAAAAGATGCAATTTCAAATGAAAATTATTACAGTTGATGTAGCTGAGGTAACAATAAGCAAGGTTTTACAACCATCTTTTAATTACCCTTTCTTTTTTCCAAACTCACTTTGTTCTGTTTGATACAGGCCTATAAACAACTTTTACAAAATATTAGCAGCAACCAAGGAAAAAAATAGGAGACTGAAGCTAGCATGATAAAGACAAAGCACTAATTCTATGCACAACCCACTCCCCAGATAGCATGGATTTCTGATGTTTTAAAGAACTCTGATTCTCAAAAGAGCATGTAAAACTTGTTTTATGCCATGACCTGATCATCGTCACAACAGGGTTCGGATAATGGGTTTTGGAAAGGAATTTCACCATCTGGTTCTCAGTGAGGCTTTTGCTCTCTGGACAGGTGTTAGAACCCAGGCCTACTCAGATGCAGCATTCCTATTGAGTAAAGGAGAAACTGGAGAATAAATCCTCTAAGTAATTACTCCTAGTAATGAACAGAAATAGTATTTTTCTTGTCAACATAAAATTATTAATACCTTCTGAACAAAACCAAAAAAGCCTTCATTAGTGTAAACCTCAATGAATAAACCCATGTTTCCAGTTTTCTTCAAACTGCCAAAACACATCAGAGCAGGTGCTACTTTTCCAGATGAAGTTCTCTTGCATTCTCAAGTCATACAGCTGCATGACTCCATGCTGAATATGTAGTTTAGAAGAAGAGGTCAAGCATAGAAAGAGTTTCAAGTAACATCTCAACTGCAGAGTCAACTGTACCCTGCTAGGGCTATGAAAAAAAATGTAATAAAAATAACCACATAAATTCATCCACCTCATAACAAGGGACTAAGTAAATACGCATAAGTTAAGAGATGACCACGCATTACACATTTTTTCACAGAAGTAGTCTTGCATAGTCCAGGACATAGACATGGATCAAACAGTATTCTTCCTTGAAGTTAACAGTATTGCCAAGAATCATAATTAAGCACAAAGTCCATGTTGGCCATGCAAGAGATGTACTGCTGCACAGATAAAGTGCTGCAAACTGTTGCTATTGCTGTTAGTTAAACACTTGGACGCATCACAGCTAAGTGGAGGCGAGCTGAAGAAAGCAGGTTCTGCAGGAAGATTGTGTTCTGTAGTACTTCAGTGCTGCATTCTGTGACAGATCAGAAATTGCTATGCTAGCATGGAATGGCTTAGAGACTAACTTTGTCACAGCATTTAGGAAGATCCTCTAGTTACCTTCTGTATATTTTAGACTGCAGCACATTATGTGTTTTACCCAACACAGAGCAGAAGAAAACTTTTTTCTGCAATATTCCATATTGTAGCCACTTCCTTCCGGTGGCTGGGTAAGGGTCTGATAATAAACCAGCTGCAAACAGGGAAACCCCCCAAATATTAGATTATTCCCAACAACAGAATTGCAGGTAGTGCTTCATTTTAACATTATAGGATAGAATATGCAGCTGGAAATCTCTCAAAGTCAAAAATAAATCTTTGTCTACTACAACCAGCTGGAAAGTACCTTTTGGCTCTGAAGGAAAATGCACCTAATTATTAATATGCTGAAACAGCTAGACTACCTCTCTTCTTGCAGGGAGGAAAAGGTCTTTCAAAGAACATCTTCTCTTTGAAACTTAAATATCTCCTCCCTTCCCACTACTTTAAACTATCAAAAACACAGCTGCAAAGAAGGGGAGGAACTGCAAAATGCAATAATTAGTCAAAGTACAGACTTACAGGTGTAATTTAGGTTGAACCTGTGGAGGTGTTTTTGTTCAGCCTCTCGAAGTCCATCTTCCTTTGGGATTCTCAGAGCCACATTCAATGAGCTTCTGAATATCTCCTAAAATGGAGATTCTACAATCCGAGTCCTTGCTGCCTTGCCTGGCATTGCTACAATGATTTCTCTTCCTTTTATCTAATCAGAATTGGTTGATAAATTCAGCAGTCACATAATTATTTCAATCTTGATCTTCTGGTTGGTTGTATTTTAAATTTCAACTCTCTGTTCAGTTATTTGATGCAGAAAATCTGGTTTAAGGGTATGACATTGAAGGCGTTTATTCTGATCATCTGCCTTCACAGCTGCTGAACAAGTAAGTCATTGCTTTACAGAATTCAAACAACTGAAACAAAGGTCTAAAATCTGAACAGATAATAACCTAGGGTGTATTAACTTGTAAAGGTATGTAAACCTTCGCATAGAAAGGTTTTTCTTATTTTAAGGAATAAGAACAGAGTTACTCATTTACGTTGCCTTACTAGCATTAATAATACCAACCAATTTAAACATTATCAGAGTGCTGCCTTTTTCCACACAACAAATGCATGGACTGACAGCTAGACCATTTGATTACTCTACCTTTTAAAGGCACATTTTGTGATGGTGTTACTGTTGTAGAGTTAACTGTAGGTGAAACAGCTGAACTGCTTCCTAGCACCAATCTCATTAGGCTTGGCCTTTTTTGGAGAGACTCTATTGCCTTCAGAAGTAGCAAGACACTTAAATATAAACCCCTCTCATTCAGAACTACAGGGGTTTAAATTAAAGAACCTCGGGGTTTTCTTCCATAGTATATTACAAACACAGCAGTGATGCCTTCATTTTAAAAGATGGGCAAGTGCACATAAAGCAGTTAAGATCTCCCTAAATAATAACCATACAGAAGTTAAGAAAATGATATCCAACTCAGACTAAGCATTCAAAAGCCAGTGGAAAAGGAAAGGGTAAATGCAAAGAGATACAAACCCAACCCTGAAACATAGTAAATCATATTATGCCCACCTGAATTCATTTGGCCTACTTTTCACATCTTGACCCACACTACGCTGAGACAAGGTTAGTTCACAGCAATAAAATTAAGCTAAACAGCTTGTTTCTGCAATGCCCACTGTTTGGAACAGCCTCTGCCCTTCTTACGAGAAACATCTATCCTCTCTCCTGGTTCTATGTTAATGCTGGTTTAGTTTGTTATGTAACTCTGTAAAACATTTGAGACTTCAGGTTGTATGCAGAATGAAAAGTGTCAACTCTTAATGACCAATCACAGCACAGCTATTCGCTCCTTTCTGCAAGAACAGTATTTTGCAGTATTGCTTCTAAACAAAAGAAAGCCTCTAAATAACTCTGAAATCATAGGTTCAGTGCCTGATTAACATGCCCACCAAAACTTGGCTCCATCTTGTCCTGAAACCCGTCTGTCACTGTAAGATTGCCCTTGATGATGTAATATCAATAGAAAGATCAGTCCTCAAATAGACCTGAAAAAGCAGAGCTATACACCAAGAAGTCTGAAGTGCCAGCACAGGCCTTGTAAGTCTGTCAGAATCACAGACTGCAAATAGCCTTAAGACTATCATAAGCAACAACAGGACCAGACTTCAGTTCAGACACAATGATTTGAACTAAGAACATTCTTGAATATTGCCCTCGCAACAGTCTAGCTGCTCCAACAATTTCTCTGGGTGTAATAAGAAACTGAGTTAGAGAGTCATCTTCACCAAGCAAAGGTAACTTGTGTCACACAATTATTCAACCTTTTGAGAAGAAACAAAACCATTCCCACCCCCAAGATGTGTTTACTCAGTGGTAACTATCTATACCTAGCAAACAGTCTGGATAGTCTCCCATTCAACCCACAGAGGCAAAGACTCCCAGCAGGCAATGCTGATATTTGAGCATTTTGGAGAGATTTTACTACACTATACCCCTCATACAGGAAACATAATTCACTTGTTATATATATATTTAATCATCCTAACATTTTCCATTGTAACACACCTTTCCTTCTTTCTAACATATATTAACACATTAAGCTCCAATGTCTCACTGTAGGCACTGTTTGGCTAAGGTAATGAACACATTCACAAAATAAACAGGTCATTCATTAGATACTACTTGTTCCCAGGTTTTTTTAATTTACTTACACTTGCACCATCAGGTATATGAGCTGGTTACCTTGACATATGTGTCTTGATCAACAAAGGCTACTATAGAGCTGGTATGACTTTAGCATTCTTCTGTATCAGAGACTATCCAAGCATTAGGCCATCAGGCACTGCTGCTATATATTTAATTAACTGTAGCTGTGTAATGGTGGCCAGGGATAATACAGGAGGACTGGCTGGTTTTACAAAAGTAAAAATGTATTGGTTTTACTGTAGAAAACCTGACTTGGAAGAAAAGACTATTTTTACATGGCAACAAATTTGGTAATAATTTCAATTAAAGCCTGAAGGCTATTTCATGTATTTATAAAGGTGAGCCTTCTTAACTCAGCTTATACAACTCTGATCTAATAAATTCTCCCTTTCAGAATATACATAGGTTTGTATTTGAATTGTTGTTTGTTCATTGGAAAAAAAAATTAAGCCTATTCTGAAAAATAATCAAACCTATTCCAAATATTATTTAATATCTAGTTAGTATAAATCAGACTGATTCCTCTTTTTTTCAAAGTGCCTCTCTCAGCTAGGGTGTACACACAGCTGCTGTATAGATCACCTGTGTTCCAGACTAGTCTGTCCAACCCTCCACCCAGTATTCCACATAGCTTCAACTGTCAGGGACTTCAGGTACTCAAGACAGGCAATAAAAGAAGTGGCCAAACAATTCTTGTTTAGTTTTCAGGCTGCTCAGGAGCCTATTACCTTCACTTCATGCTATTAGTGAGTACTTCTGACAATGTTTTGTACCTATTACAAAACAGTTGGCTATTCTCAGACACACAGTATTATTGTGTACAATATCTAAAATGATTGCAAGGAGTAAAGTATACTGGATGCTGTATCAGCAAGCCAAAAGGTTTCTCAACACACATTACAACACTACTGTAAAATCCTTAACACTATTGAGTGCATCTGCGCTGGCTGGGCCTGATTTTATGAACAATGGCAAAAGACATAGAAGTGGTAACCTACAATAAAAGCATCAAGTATACTGCGCTAACAGATCAAATTAACAGAATAGGGGTATGAAAATCAAATTGTTTCAGGCCTCTGGGGCACAATTCCTCACCAACATCTACCATTAATATAATGCTATGAATACATGTGTACAGCCCAGTCAACTCCTAAATACAAGGCAACAGTTCTTCTATTCATTATGACATTTTCTGGTTCCTCCAAGTGGGTAAAGTTAGTGGAAGAACGATCTCAGAATATTCTCAGAAAACAAGCTACAGTTTTATGTACATCCCCAGTGGCCATCCAACCTGCAGATGAGTTACCAATGCCGTTTAATTTAACACCACCACCTGTTTAGCAAGCTAACAAAATGACTGGTTGCTGTCTATTAGCAGCTTGTCCTTTCCCTGCTTAGGCCTCAGAAATTAATATTTATGCTATCTTAAGCAAAAAAAAAAAAATAAAGTCTTTGATGATCCATGTATAGATGTTCAATTGTCCTCCATACCACAGGCCAGTTCCTAAAAGGATTCTGCTTTTAAATACCATATTCCAGAATGTCTTTTGCCCACAGTGCTCCACATGAACTAAAAGGAAGCACAGCCCTAGCAGCAACTAGGCACCTGGGACATCCAACCAAAACAGAGACATACAATCAACATGAACACAAACATCTTAAGTGATCTCACCATACAGGCCAAATGACAAAATACACAGACACTCCTCGTTGTAAAGTGAAACGTATCCTAAGTTTGCCTTTTGTGACAAAGATATTCATGTTTCCGCCCACACCTTTAAACCTTTGAATTTCTAAAACCTATTGTCATCTTACAGAAATAAAGAGACTAAATATGGTATATTTAACATATTTTGAATCATAATCCTGGATGGTTTTAAGTATTTATTTTTTCCTTGAAAAGAGACTAACACAAATAAGCTTTAAATATGCAAGCAGATCTCCTAAACAAACAAACAATCAACAAAGAATTAACAAACAACTTTATCCTTTAGAGAATAATGGATGGAATACTGAACATTGAGCAAAGATACTATTTCTTGCAACTTAACAAAAAGTTATGAAACCCAGTAAGAGAAGAATGAGACCACAGAATAGTGGGACACATGCAAGGAAATACACTATGAGATCTTTGATAAGTATCTAAGAGATGCAGAATCATCACATCAAAAAGAATAAACTAGTAACCACTCTGTTCTACATTACTTGTTAGTATGACCAGTTAGGTCATTCACTGTACATAACCTGTTAACTCATGGAAGAATCAGAAACAATTGTCATCTGTAACTTACAGACTGAATGACAGGATTCTGGTCTATTATTACAGAAGTACAATCCTTCACAAAAGAGAAGGGAAGTCCCAAGCTATAGCCTGTTTGAGTACACTGCATGCTTTATATCTACTTCACCTGCTGCAACACAGAAAATGGTGGTTTTTGGTTTGTTTTCAAGTAGGTTAAATAGCCTCTGCTGAAGCACAATTTAGCTAGTTGGGAAAAAAAAAAACAACCCAAAACCAACCCAAAACCAAACAATATTATCAAACGATGTACTCTTTCCCTTCCCCATCTTTTCAGGCAGGATTCTTTTGATCTCATCTATTCCAGCTTCTACACATAGCAGTCAAGACACCAAGAGCATCATCCGTCATTGAAGGGAATCCACTCAGCAGACTCAAAGTTCTTCTCGTACTGCTGACAGCCCCTCTTGTGCTAAAAATCATTCTTATTCAAGCTAGTCAAAGAGTGCTGGATATACTGAAAATGATCCTTTATCAGTCTAAAAAAAAAAAAAATACAGTAGATCTAGCAATACATTTTTTTCTATCTAAATGAGCATAAGACATCAGTTGATATTACAGTCAGTCTAATGAACTGAAAAGCAAAGTCTGACAACACAAGGGTCCAAAGTTTATTTTGTTTAATATTATACAGTCTTAAGTACAGGGGAAAGAACAAAGTAACTATACTATGTTCTAGAAATCCTATTAAAAGTTGTAACCCAAACATCTGCACTCCAGTTAAATGACATCAGACTGTTTCTTTCTCATATCAGCTACTACAGTTATACCCACCTGTTACATTCACTGCTGGCCCAGTCTGGTACTGTGGGACTCCCGAGTTCTCTCTCACGCCAAACAGTATACCAGATGTATTATCTGGTGCAGCTGGTGGAGAATCCATAATATAATCCTAATAAGATATTTTCAAGAGGGAAAAGAAATTTTAGGTTTAACATTTTTTTTACTTGCAGGCTTCAAAGGATTTATTTTAAAAACATATGATTGCTTAAAAGTATTCCTAAGTACTCAGCTGTAAATCAAGTTAATTACAATTTCCCCAAAATAAGTTTCTTTTGACATTTTAATAAGTTTGCAACTCTCATCAGTGCTTGTTAATTTATTCATAGCTGTGTATCAGAATAGTAAAAACAACCATAAGACCTGGGGAAGTCCATCTTATGAATTATTACTAAACCTGTTTGAATTGCTAACCATAACTGCTTTTGTTGGAAAGTCTGATGATACTTCAAATTATACTCGTTTTCCAAAAAAACTCTTAATACTTTCTTCCTTCAACCAAAACTCAGGCATTTGTGTGTTACTCTTGTGTAACTGCTAGGTGCAACTTAGAATATCAGAAAACACAATTCAAAATTAGTATAAACTTGCAGCAAGCAGAAGCTTCTCAAAACAAGATGATATTAAGTAAGTCAAATTCTGCTAAGTGGTCAAGCTTTAACTGAAGTAAAAGCTCTTTTGAAAGCACACAGCTAATGTAAAAGTTGGTTTATGTTACTTAGTGCCTTCTTATATTAAGTTTTGTGCACATCCAAGTACAGGTATTCTCTTACCATTCAGTTTAAAAGGTTTGCCCTTTAATACCACATAAACTTACAGTCCCCATTTCTTGGCTCCAACACTGGAAACTGTCAAAATTAAACACCTTCACTGATCACAGAAGAGGTAATATTGGGAGGGAAAAGAAACATGAAATTTTGTTCTCTTTACACTTATTCAAGGTTTGGGGCAAGGTAGGAGAAATACTCTTGCTAAAGTTCATCAGTACTGTTCACATATCAGTAAGCCATATAGCCTAACACAATCGACCTGAAACATGAAATATTTTCAGCAATACTAATAAGGAACTATAAAAACCTTACAATAGAGTTAGGATTAATTTCTATGTTAAGGTATGAATGTCAAAATACTGGCAACTTGATCTTTCTACTCTGAAATAATTCAGTTGCTTACACTTCATCAAGCTGTACTGTGAAACCAAAAAAAAAAATTGACAGAAATAGCTCCATTTTCCTCGGAAAAACAAAATAACCACCCAAGACACACACACAGACTTTGTCATCAGTGTATCCATGAGACAAAGGCCAAAACACTTCCTGCTCTAAAGATCAGTATCAAAAAATGCTTCCTATTCACAATTGTGCTACTTATTTGAAAACATCTGTGTGGTGGAAGTTGTCACAATTTAGGTGCACAAGCAAGCATACAGGTATGATAGGCTACTTCAGGACTCTTAAGTATGAGAAAATATTTGAACAAAAAGGATGCCACCTCTTAACATCCTGCCTTTTTGTTGTACATCTTTTAAATGAAGAACCTGAAGAATCTTAATGATAATCAAGATCCGTTCTCTCTTTTGGGGAGTGACCTCATCCAACCTAACCAAACTAAACAAACTTTCTAGAGTAGTTGTGGAAATAGTTACTCAATTTCTCTGCTCTAACCTGTTAGAAAAAACACTTGAGTTGCAGTCAGGAAACAGCAGGTGTTATTGTAGCCACAATGGTTTCAGACTAGTGAAATAAGTTACAAATCAAGTAACTAGTAACTGGTGAAACAAGTTACAAACCAAGCAGCTTCAGCTAAACCCTACTTCAATGCTACTGGCCACTGGCAGCAGCCTCATAGCATGGAGGACTATGCACTCCACCTACATTTAAAATATGACCAGTGCAATAGGCACATGCAAAATCTGCTTCTCTCACTACTCTGTGGTCGATTTATTTTCATGTGCTGCTAACATTTTAACTTTCTTCAAAATAACAGCCTGGGTATTTTGAAAGCATGTGTGCATCTCCCTAGAATATATTCAAAATACCTGGCAAGAAAAAAGTAAAAGCAGACAACCTGGAAATTCAAAGTCTTGTCACTTTCAAAATGTCCTTGTCTGTTTATAATTATTCTTTTCATGCAATTCAGCTGTATCATTTTACTTAGAAACCCCCCCCCCCCAATATCTTCCCATGCTTTGGAAAGCAAAAACATTTTAAAGAAAAACATTTACCACATCAATGAAAAATACAAAATCCAAGTAACATACAGGTGCTCTCTAATGCAGAAAAGCAAACCCCAACATTATTATAAATTAATATCCTAAGGCTCAAGTGAAGAAAAATAATCTACCACCACTCTTAGTTTTCCAAGTGACTAGTGAAAATACTGAGTTTATACTGCGCATCATCAAAGTCCTAACTGTGGAAATCAACATAATAACTGATAACCAAATCCACACAGAGAAATTACCATGTATGGTGTGGGATCTTTGCTCTCCCAAAATTATCTAGTAGCAACTGGAACCTGAATCACGCTCAGGCTGACAAAAGTTCCTAGTAAGTAGGGGAAAGATACAGACAAAATTGGCTGGGGCTTATTTGGAGAGCACTGTGATTGCAGAAACAGAGAAAATCTTCACCCCTAAGAACAAATTTTTCTTAAAGAGGATCATATACAACATATACATATGTGTATATGTGCCATCATATACAACAGCACTAGCTCTGACTGAATTAGAATTGCTGCGAACAGTACAGCTGAAGCCAAATTAAACTCTGAATTTCTGGAACTGCATTAACATAGTGCAGTAAGAAGAACACAAAAACTAGTCTTTCACAGTAAGTCAGTGAATCAATCCTGTGACTGGAAACGGGTATTTTCAATGATAAAACTGGAATAGCAAACATTAACAAATGATATATTATAGATCTACATGTTACAAAATTGAGGAAATGTGTTCCAAGTCAGTTTGCAATCAAAAGCAATCAGTTCCTACAGACAACACTGTCATATCCTGAGATTAAGAAATACTACAGCATATTAGGAATGCAAAGGCACTCTAAAGGCTGTTCAGCTAAAAAGGGGTCCTGCCACAGTGTCTAGTCATGCCTCACAGTCACAATGTTTTACCTTCTCTGCTAAGTTTCAACATCTGGATGCTGAAGATTCAAATGCCAAACATTGCCCAGAAAACATTATTTGAAACCCTTGCCTCTTGGAAGAATCAAGTCAGGAAGAACCAGAAAAGTGTGAAAAAAAACATCACAAAAAGCCCAAGGCAAATGAAGAATTCAAACCAAGGACAAGAATAAAAATATAGGTAGTATACATACGACACTAAGAACAGCAGTAGAGCAGTTGACATCATGTACCTGGACTTGTGCAAAGAATTTGATGCTGTCCCACATGACATCCTTGTCTCCAAATTGGAGAGACATCAGTTTGATAGGTGGACCACTCGGTGGATAAAGAACTGGATGGATGGCTGCACACAAAGAGTTGTGGTCAATGGCTCAATGTCTGCCTGGAGACCAGTAACGAGTGGTGTCTCTCAGGGACCAGTGTTGGGGCTGGTCTTGTTCAACATCTTTGAAGGCGACATAGACAGTGGGATTAAGTGCACCCTCAGCAAGTTTGCCGATGTCACCAAGCTGTGTGGTTCGATTGATATGCTGGAGGGAAGGAATGCCATCCAGAGGGACCTTGACACACTTGTAAGGTGGGCTGATGCCAACTGTATGAAGCTTAACCATGCCAAGTGCAAGGTCCTACACCTGGGTCGGAGCAATCCCAGGCACAGCTACAGGTTGGGCAGAGAAGAGATTCAGAGCAGCCCTGCGGAGAAGGACTTGGGGGTGTTGGTCGATGAGAAAATGAACATGAGCTGGCAGTGCGCACTTGCAGCCCAGAAAGCCAACCGTATCCTGGGCTGCATCAAGAGGAACATGACCAGCAGGTCGAAGGAGGTGATCCTGCCCCTTTACTCGGCTCTCATGAGACCGCACTTGGAGTATTGCGTGTAGCTCTGGTGTCCTCAACATAAAAAGGACATGGAACTGTTGGAACAAGTCCAGAGAAGGGCCACAAGGATGATCAGGGGACTGGAGCACCTCCCATATGAAGATAGGCTGAAAAAGTTAGGGCTGCTCAGCCTGGAGAAGAGAAGGCTGCATGAAGACCTCATAGCAGTCTTCCAGTATCTGAAGGGGGCCGACAAGGATGCTGGAGAGGGACTCTTCACTAGGGACTATAGTGATAGGACAAGGGGTAAACAGGTTCAAACTTAAACAGGGGAAGTTTAGATTGGATAAAAGGAAGAAATTCTTTACTGTTAGGGTGGTGAAACACTGGAATGTGTTGCTAAGGGAAGTTGTGAATGCTCCATCCCTGGTAGTACTCAAGACCAGGTTGAAAAGAGCCTTTAGTGTTTAGTGTGATGTGTCCCTGCCCATGCAGGGGGGTTGGAACTAGATTATCTTAAGGTCCTTTCCAACCCTAACTATTCTATTCCAAGATTTTAACAGCAAATGGCAATGTGGCACAAATGATATTAAAAAAAAATAATAATCACAGAATCTTGCCCAAGGAGCTGAATAAACCTCCCTAAAAACAAACAAACAAAATATTATTTTCCATGCCATGTACCTTGAAAATCCTATTTCTTCAAATAGGCGTTTCTCTACTCTGCCAAGAAAGAAATTGCAGATTTTGGCAAAGTAAGACTATAAAACTTAAGTCTCATCCGTGACATTCCTGTTGAAAGTAAACTCAATGAATGAGAAAACTCTTACAAGTGCTGTGTGCATCACGTCTTCAAAAAAAAAAAAAAAAAAAAAGTATCACTGTCTTGATGAGTTATATCCAGCTTACATATACCTTTTGGGGAAGTTCAGCTTTCCTAGGTCTGTTTACTCTAAGGTTCTCTAATAAGAACAACATAGAAGCCACCAGCAGCTTTATCTATAAGAACAAAAACATAAGCATGGATGTGTGAGGGAAGTAAAGGAGTGGATTTTCTCTTGCAGTAAAGATTCTGCAAGACATCCTAACACTCCTTTGAAGGATTTTATAAAGCATACTATGTCCTAAGTAAACATTTATAAAAATAAAATTCAGACTTGAAACGTGTATACCTCATGTGAAGTAGCAGTCCTTTCTATATCAATCTGTCCTGCTGTATAAAGACAGATTTAAGGGAACTCCAGAGGCAACCTAAACATCCTACCGATATCTGGACTTCTGCCTGTATCACTTTTAGGCATTCTTACACACAGTCAGAGACTGATTTAGCTAACCCACCTCACTAGACATGTCCACAGTTTCTCTCTGCAAACTATCAATCAGCTGACGAAGACTCAAAATTGGAAACCATGAGCTCTTTCCTAATGAACTGGCCAGAGATTCAGCTACCTAGTTGATGGGCAATGATTACTTTGCATTGTTTTTCTTAAAATACAGCTACCCATGGGCAACGATTTAGCCACAAGTCTTGAGAAGAACCTCTAATTCTCATGCCTTAATGGCCTTACGAACTATGCTCAGACTGATTGCCCTGTTCAATAAATGCAGAATACATTAAACCACATGATTTTTATTTATACCAAAACACTAACAGCTGAGACAAACACAGGTGTGTATATTTGCATGGATGGTAGACATGGAATGACTATCAAGCTTCATTTAAACCTGCCAGTAGTAGTTAATATTATAGGCACATTGTCTGAACAGTTTAACCTTAAGTTGTTTTCAATAATGGTATCAATTTATCTCATCCAAGTATGAAATTTTTATTTTTCATTTTTTCTCTGCCACAAATGTCCAACAGCCAAGGCAATAAAACAAGCATTTAACTTGACTCCCTGAAGTTACCATTCTGAGGTTCTGTAGCAATCCAGGAAGATCTATGATACACAGACTATGTGTATCATTCCCTTGGGCTTTTCAAACAGAACAATTATGTTGCCAAATTGTTTCACCTACTGAACCTGCAACTTTTGGTTACTTAAGCCCTCCCTACCATACTACTGTTTCACTACAAGTGCTAAGTGAACCCCAAAGCAAAAACAATTAAGGAGCTACCGCTATAGTGTTCTCTTAGGAAGTAAAAATCCCAAGAGAGGGTCTCTAAAAATCAGGAGGAAAAAGCACAATGTTAAACACCAAATGCAAGCTATTTAAAAATGAAATAATCTTATCAATACAGAGGATCTATCTCTGAACAAAAAAAATCTGCAAAATCTAGAGAATGTGAATTTCTATTATTTCTCCACACAACATAACCTAAACAGTACTTCTTTCTCTTATGTGCAAGATTTTCATTTAATGAAATTCCACTGTTACTAAAGCTACTATCCTTGCATCTTGCAAATCAGTATATTTAAATATATATTTTAATTCACAAGTGCAAGGTTATAGTCCTAGAACCTTTACAGTTTACATAATGCTAGTCTATAATCTAGTCCAGGTCTTCAAATTACCAGACTGGCTCAGCATGTTTCTTATTAATTTATTCAAAAGTAATTGCACCCAAGTCTTTAATAGTTTAAGGGAATAAAAATTTACCTGATCGAGTATTACAGGCTCTGCTGTTAGAGTAGTCACTGGCCTGGATACAGGTTGAGCCACTACAGGAACCGTGATATTTCTCGATACTGGCTGTGTTGTCACTGGAACAGTTACAGGTCTGCTAACAGGCTGTGATACTCCCGAACTTGATCCAGGCATCTGCTGTGTTGATAAACATCCAGGGCCCGGTCTCTGCGGTGTTTGTGAAGTTCCTGAAACATTCACTGGTATAGACAATGGCTGAACTGCTACAGAGCTAGTTGTAGGTCTGGATACAGACTGAAAGACGGATGAAACAGGCATGGCACTGGGACTGGAGGCAGATGGTGCATAATGGTGACTGTCAGACTTGAATGTAGTAACTGTACCTGTTGCAAAGGATTCCAAAGTTATCTTTCTATAATTTTGCAGGCGGATGTTTCATAAGCATTGTGCTTTTTTTTTTAAATTACCATATTAGGACAATAAAGTACCTCTACTGGGTGCACCATTCTGTATCCCCCTTCGTGATGAGCTGAAGTTGACTCTGTTCAATATATCTGTCAAAAGTTACATTATCTTAATTGCAGTTAAATTAATAGCTTAATTGCTTTTCAAAATAAAAGTAGCATTCATATCCATTAAGTAAGCCAATAAGGATTTGACAAATAAATTAGAAGATTATTTCTAAAATAAATACCTGGCAAAACAAAATGCAGTTTGTACAAATTAAGATGAATTCTCCCCTCCTTTTAGGTTAAGCTAGTTCACCTAAGAATCTCAGTTTTTGTTTTCTCAGAAATAGATTAACACAAAAATACGACTGCAAACAAAGAAGAACATTTAACAAATATTTAGCTTTGGTGATTATAATGCATTTACTTACTTCCATTTCTCATATATATAATAAGTTCCCAAATACTGTACTGCTCTACACTAAAGGAAGCATATTATCTCAACCAGTAACCACACAATTTGCTTCTGTATTACAGGAAAATGCAGCACTTACAAACTTGGGTATAGACTTCATGATCTCCATTTTCCAGTGTGAAAGACAAACCAACAGAGCAGCAACCAAAGTAGTTGTAGTATTGGAACTGTGTTACAGAAGGACTTATTTTCTTCAACATCCTACGTGGTAATCTATGACCAGAGTTCTAGCTCGCAGGAAACACATCTAACTTCTTAGATTTGACGCTTACTCACTAGCTAATGCCACCAACATTCCCCAACTTTTTACACCTTAGTCTGGGGTTTCTGATCATTTCAGAAAGTTACAAAATTATTCATCAAATCCAAGTATTTTTCTACCCCAGATTCTCAGTTTTGTTACTGCTGCAGTTGAGTTACTTGCTCTGACATGCGAAAATATGCATATGAAATTAGACTGATCCTCCAGTATCTAACCAACAAGATTTAAAATTCCTTCTCAAGCCAGGGTCAGATCTCAAACAATAAAGAGTATCTACACATTGCATTTAACAACCTTAAGGCTGTTTCCAGCAGCAATGGCTCATTAGTATATACTACTGAGGTTGATGAATAAAACCAATAGCAATAGAGCTCAGAAGATCACAGCTTTTGACCTGTCACCTGCATTTAGATCATACTAATAAAAAAGCAGCTGCAAACAGACCCAAACAGGTTTACATTTCCTAAGCTACGACAAAATCTCATGCTGTAACAGTAATACTATTTTTACTTCAACACAACACTATGAGCAAGAATTGTCTTAAATTGGTATTTAGCTGAATACATGCTTCTTCTTGCTTGTTAATAAGTTTATACCTCACATTTGAATTCCAGACTGAAATGAAATTTCATTTACCAACAAAAAAAAAAACCCTCAATCCTAAAGGTTGTCTCACAAAGTATATTCAGCTTCGGAGAGCCTAATGCACACACAACAGACATCCTAAAATGCAAAGGTAGATTTTACTGTTTTTAAACAGAAAATGTCAATAACTCTGATTCAGAATTATAAACTAGATTTACATGACTCAACTGATCCATCACAGCCTTGATGCGACCTGTTCCCTTCCCCATCAAAGTGTTATTTGTCCTGTGTAGGTAAAAGAGCACTGAAGTATAAGAAAGATAACATGCAGAACAGTATTTTTAAGTAGCAACAAATTACAGGTTTGTTTCATTATGAAAAGGAAGCAAGAAATATGAGCAGTAACTGTAGGAAAAATAAACAGTTGCAGGAAATGGTAAGGGAACAAAGTGTAAATTACTTTTCATCCTAGTCAAACTAATCCTCCAGTACATCAGAAGCACTTCATTGTACATGACACTGTACCAGCAGGTCAAAGTTGAGATCTTAACCATTACTTCAAGTTTTCCACATCAGTCTGTATAAGAACTGATAACTGCATTAGAAGGAAAAGGTTAAAAAAAATTAATATGCTATGTACTGCAGAAAATATACCTTTCAGAAAATTCAGAACTATAAGCAAGTTTCCATTTGTCATCTAATTTTTTGTCTCATCAGACAGGAATTTTCCCAGGGAAAACTTAAACAGTGATAAGAAAAGCTGAGTTCACTGTCTCTTGCCTATCACCAACAATAAACTGAAGCCTGACTACTGCCAGGTAGTACTACTTACAAGCCAGAGAAGAACTGAGGCCATTCTTCCATAGCTGTTTTTGATAGTGAAGATTACAAACAGAAAAGTTGAGGAAAGGGAAGGAAAAGAGATAAAGTAAAAAGTTACACCATAAGCGATTTTACTTGTGTCAGGACTGAGTATGGACAGCACTAAAATACGATGCATACATTAAGTATCTTTTACCAAAGTTCTTGAGGTTGCTAAATCATATTAAAATTACATGTTCTCATCCGAACTATTTCTACTCTTTAGAACTACAAAAAATTCTTGAGACTAAAACAACTGCAATGAAACTTGGCATATTTGTAGTTCCAGTGTACGCCTTGTGCTTTAACAGCTGTTCTATGCTATGATCTACTGGCAAGGACCAGCAACAATCCAGAGGTCTCTGGACCTTCCAGAAAACAGTAATAAAGGTTATTTTTCAGTGCTTCTAGAAGTTTGTAACTGCAGAAAGCTTCTTAAAGCAATTTTAAAACAGTCCTCAAATTTTCAAGAGGCTCTAGAATATTTTTAAAATATTAAGAAACATAGGAAATATATACAGGTGAAAGAACTTTTAACATCAGCTTCAGTCTTTCTTTAAAGCATAATTTTCCACTTTTTTAAGCTAGCGCAAGAAGCATTAGACTTACTATCCCGGTGTGTAGTAACGAAGTAAAATAGATTTCAGATGCAAGATAGAAGTATCACGAACTAAACTGACTGAAAAGCTAATAATTCTAAAGTCCATACATTAGAGTATAACAGAAAGCTTAGTTTAACATTTTGTCTTGAGATTCTTCACTGCAAACTATACACCTTAAGAAAACAACTACGGAAAACTTGGATAAAGAGATGAGGCACAAATTGAAAGCAGTAACCTCACCAGGCAATGTCCTGAGTATTCAACAGGGAGAGAAACCTTAGGTCACACCTCATAACAAATGACTGCAAGATGGTCACACACAGAAGACAAGAAGTTTCATTACTAAAATTCAAGTAATAAAAGTGATGTTCTCCTCTACTTACCTGCACAAGCACAGGACAAACATGGAATTCTGACACATCTGCTGTCATCCCAACCACCTAACCTCACTCCCTGCACTGGCTGCATTAGGAGAAAACTATAGAATTTGATTAAGAAAAACTCTTTGCTTTAGAGGGGATGAATGAATTTATTATTATTAATGAAAATCTCTCTCTTAACAGAGAGGCTCCTACCCTTTTCACATTAATCACTTTTCCTGATCGTGCTTTTATTACAGACACTTGAAGACAGTTACCTTGGTTTTGTCAGAATGATGTCCACCCAATCAGACTGTCCACCAACACATGAAACGTGGGGTGGAGAAAAAAGAGATACTTAAATTCATACACATTCCTATAGCAGGGAGACACTTCCAAGTATGTAACTAAATATCAACTATATTGAGAGCAATTGCATGCATGGTTTCAGAACTATATATATTTGATTGTTAACCATATTGCTAATGCTAAAATTTTCAAATGTCCTTGACTGTAGAGACTGAAGTTTAAAGGTAGACAGAGCTGCATAGAACCTAGATTTTAGAACAGAATTTCTTAAGAATTCACGTTTTCAGTATGACACTGACCCACAAAACAGCTTTAAAATGTAGAATTTCTTAAGTATTACTGTTAAGGGAGAAAAAAAAACACCTCTATTTTTAAATTAAGTTTAAAGTTTTTACACACAGAAGTACCTATTTTAAATTATGGAAAATGTCATCTTACATGTACTAGCTGGCTTCGAGCTTGAGATTTCCCCAACAAAGATTGGCTCATCATCATCATCATCCTCTTCAACTTCTTTGACTCTCTTTTGCCATGGTTCTAGCTCCTCTTCTTCACATTCCATAAATAACTCTGCCATCTTGAGAGTAGACAAAAAAAAAACAAAATACACATAGCAAACCATTCAGTACTTTCATGAAACAAACATTTCACTGTTCAGAAAAGATTACTGCACTTGACAATAATTCTTTCCCTTCACCACCCACCAGGTTCTGTACAGGTTGAACCTGATCTGATATAAAAGACCACATCACCTTTCTGGTAATTACCTAAATTCCAATTTTTGCTACTAAGGATGGATGAGAAAAGACCAAAGATATCCTCCACATTAACTGTTTTTTTCATAATCCCCATGTAACTACCAGAACAAGCCTCTGACACCACAGTGCAAGGTATCTTTAAAAAAAACACTCCTATTCCCGGTGAGTGATACACAACAAACACAAAGACCCTATAAAGAAGCATGTAATATAACCTCGCACAACCAAGTTACTGAAACACTAATTACAGCTTTAATCTCTTTACATCTAAATAAACCCAACCCAACCAACCCCCCCAACCAACCCCCCCACCCAAACCCACAACCTACCACAACCCCACAGATTTTCTAAGATTTTGCCAGGCCTTCCCATATAGTCACATTTTCTTCAAAACCACACAAAACCAACACACAAATCCCCCAAACCCACAGAACAAAACCCAACCAAATCATCCACAAGAAAAGAAAACCAAACCCAAACCCCACCCTGAAACAAAAAACCCACAATAAAAAAAAAAATTCCAACCCATGCCCACAGTCATCAATTAGGACTTCATAAAAATTTTGCATTTATCTCACTAGACTGAATCCCTTGTGACTGGAGACTTACAGTAAGGAAAAAAAGTCACGTATGAAAAGAGTAATGAAAATATGTAAGTTCTGGAATTAACCAAATTAATATCAGCACTTCTAACCACAAATGGGTTTGATTTGGGGGTTTTTTAGGTTGTTTGGTTTTTTTTTTTTAAATAGTGATGGCCAATTAAGTTTTCTTCTTTCTTTTCACACCCTCTAACATAATCTTGAAAGTATTTCTGAATTTTCCTGTATGGAAATAAGAAACTTTCATATTTCCTTACACACACTAACAATGATCTAATTACTAGTAAGCCCAGTAATTTCATAAAACCATAGTGCTGTCTCAACAATAACCTGGATCGGGGCCCCTCATACAAAGGTACTTGCTTCGCCTTAGAGACAGAAGTTGACAAAATTTAGTGTTGCCATTTTTTGGTGAACTGGAGAAGAAACAGTGCTGTTCTGCATGAAGAACCCAGCCAGTATACAAATATTAATATCCGGGCACTACAGGAATTCCTTGAAATTAATGAGCAGTTAAGCACATGAAATTCAATTCATCACTAGACTGCTTTGACAAAAAATGACGAATATCTGAGCCACAGTTTCTTTCATGAAGGCCACAATCAGTATTTCTGGTCTTATTACCAGGCTACTTCCAACAAAAAAAATTATCAATACTTCTTTCATTCTTATGCTGATACAACACTTACCTGACAAAGCAAGCTAGTTAAGGAAACCTGACTTTCCACTATTATGCAGCCAAGAAGTTCTCTGTCAGTTTAACTTCCTAAACCCAATAGCCAAGGCATCAGATCAGCACTAATGTATATGTTTATGTCATTGAAACCTTATATACAAGGTGAAAAAAAAATAAAATCAAGATTACATTCATAATCATAAACTGGTATCTCTTAAACTAAAATTTATTTTATATGGTTTATTGGTGGACTTGGGAGACCTGGGGTAATAGATGGACATGATGACCTTTAAAGGTCTTTTCCAGCGTGTGACTCTGTTGAAGGACATCCCTTAGAACACCTTTTCTTTACTAGCACAAAGTTTATTAGACTTTAAGGCACAATGAAAGACTATTTTCAGATTCTTTTTTTCATGGAATTGACAACATTAACACGAATTGTAGGTTTTTTCATAAAAAAGTATAAATGAAAAAAAGTTATATTTGACCTCAAGTAAAAGGAATCAATTATGAAATGTGCTTAGAGAATGCAAATGAGAGCATGCGTAATTTATACTAAAACCCAAAACAGGCACCAACAATCTGTATGTTAGCAGAATTCTAACAAGATGCACGTGATAACCTCAGCTACACTATAATGCAGCTGATTTTTTAATACAGTTAAAAGTAATTTCATAACATAGCCATGGACTTTGAAGAACGGTGCCGATTGAAGAATAGGGGTGTAAATAAGTAACCTCAAGAACACTAGACTTTGTTAGCAACTATAGAGAAAAGGAAATTACTAAAATAAGCTTTGCCAGAACCACCTGGTGGTTACTGATATGACAACTATCCTAAAACAAAGTGATGAAGAAATAACCACCAGGGGTCCAAAAGCCCACTACCACATTTTTGTATGCATACAGAAGGCATTCTTTAAAAGTATGATGTAACGTATGCAATCTAATGAATATGTATGTTTAAGGACAATATAATCACAGCCTGGTTGATGCTTGGGAGAGACACTCTTGGAGGAGTGATCCCCCATGTCTCCCGGTGCTGCAATAAAGAATACCTGCTTGTCAACTTAAAACCTTGTTGGAGTGTTCCTGGAGATTTCTCCGAATCAACTTCGGAAAAGTTACATCAACTGGTGGCACCTCTTAAGGACATTTCATTTTATGAATCAGGATGTATACGTTAAGGTATTCTGAAAAGGTGACTCAAATCATATGGCAGCTCTTAAAAGACAAGTATCAACATCATTTCAGACCTTTTAATTGATTTTTTTAATCTCAATGCTATGATTTGAAGCCCAAGCTTTCACTGACTTTTCCTGACAACAAAGCCAACCTAATGGGTTCCTGTCCTGCTCCTGCACTGCTCCCTCAGTTGTGCTAGTACAACTTTTCAAGAGACTAAAACTAGTGCAGGTTAAAAATAACTTGGCCCACTAACAGTTTTACCAGCGCAACTGAGAGGTCAAAACATGCGTGGCCTGGGCAATCAAAGTTGCAGTAAGGGGGAATGGACTGATTACAAGTGTCAGGATCTGCTCAAATGGTCTCCATTACTAAAGGAAGTCACTACATCCATTTTTAGATTATAACTAAATTCCAAGTTTTCAACTCCTTTAACTACATTAACATAGAAAATCCAT